ATGTACTTTCTACTAAAAAAAAAAAAAAAAACACATCATAGTAAAATTAATATAACTAAATTAAAATTGTAATATTTAATAAATATATGAATATTATGAATGTGTATTATATGAATTTATAATGGTTTTTTTTTTGTTTCTAGCTGGGACCTAGAAGTTAATGGTCAAGTTTGGAATATTTTCTGTAAGTTTAATTCCTATATACTTTCTTAACCACAAGTCCATACACCTAAAAAAAAATTAAGAAATTTAATGTTTGTATTGTGTGAGAAAAAATGTATTCTTATTTGTTTAATTTCAATTATTAATACTAATTAAGAATAAACGTATACTCTGACACAGTGAACATTTTTTATTTATGGGTACAATGAGGACTTGTGGTTGAGAAAGACATATCACTAATCGTTATAGAAAATAATTTGAACTTGATCATTAAATTAGATTTTTAAGTCACAACTGTTATGTTATGTATAATGTATTTTTGAAGTAAAGCTTAAACACTATACGATGATTAAATTTTTAATTTTTAGTAATTTAAAGAATTGTACCTGAAGACATTTTGTAGGTATTAATTCAAAAATTAAATAATTTAAACAGTTATACAATTGAAAAAAAAATTAAAAGATTTGAAAAAAGCTGTCGACTCTACTACACTAATTCGATTTAGGTAACGGGTAGGTGTCGTATATTACTTATATAGACCAAGTTGTTTCCATATTGCCTCTCTTGTAGCAGGTTTGAGATTCCCAGGTGATAAGATCAAAGTACACTGGTTATGTCACTTGAGATGTATTGTCACCAAGCATGAGTATTTCCGTGTTATCATTACGTTCAAAATAGATTTATTAGGAGAGAATTTATTAGTGTGTTCTGCCATCAACACTCATTACTAATGTAAGCCTTCGTGATTACGGTTTGTATTCGTGTATCTATTCAAAGAAAGGCTCGTACTTTTAAATAGATCTGCAAATCGGGGAAAGCAGGCGATTTTAATGTGGAAATCTTAATCGCTCCTCAAACATACAAAATAAATTTTATTTTATCGTGTTCATAGGTTTTTACTAATATTTAATGAATATAGTTTAAAAAAACTAAAAAACTCGTTTTCAAAGCACATCAAACTAAAAAGTTAAAAATATTTTTTAAAATAAGCTTAAAAAAATAATGAACGATAAATACTAGTATTATTATGATAAAATCGTCGGGCGTTCAATATACGAAAAATATGGCACAAGCACCCACGCTTTTATAAAAATAATACTAGTATTTTTCGTTCATTATTGTTTTAAGCTTATTTTAAAAATTATTTTTAACTTATTAGTTCGATGTGCTTTAAAAGCGTGTTTTTTTAAACTATATTTATTTTTCACTTTTTAGTTTCATGTTAAGATAGTAGTTACTATCAATATCTTGGTTGTTACGGGTAACGGGAAATCAGAGTTCGATTCCGGAGAGGGAGTCAGAGAAACGGCTCCCACATCCAAGGAAAGCAGCAGACGCGTAAATTACCCACTCCCGGAACGTGGAGGTAGTGACGAAAAATGACGATACGGAAATCATCCCTCGTAATCGGAATGAATACTTTATATCTCTTAATTAGAATAAAGCGTGTTAATATATAAATTTTAATAGTAATTAGAATATATATATATATACAAGTAAAGCGACTTACGTATCATGCACTAGGTATAGCTGTGTTTTGTGGGCGGGCGGGTCGGACTAACGTTATACCTGAGGTATAAACGACGATAGGAATATATACGTAAGCCGTATGGCACGCGGGTGGTATTGGTCAGTCAAAATAAAAATTTTTTTATATATATATATAATATTGATGACAAGCACACGGGTACGATAACCAAAAATAAATTTATATAGGAATAGTGTTGCCGTCGTGTGGTGAGCGAGGCGTGGGGTGGGGTGAATGCGTTACGACAGTCTAGTCTCACGACGGAATACGCGGGAATATTAACACGTGTCGTGTGGAGAGTTACATACATACATACAGATGAAACTAATATAAGCGTGTTAAAATAGAAGTGAAAAATTATTCGCATAAGTATAGACAAATAAAAATAATGACAAAGGATGCATTATTATCATGCTATTCGTCTCGACAGTATGTTTTTGTTTGACATAACGAACATAAATAGTGCTGAAAAATAAATTATTTAACTCTATTTTAGAAACTCCCTCGAGATGTAAGTTCTATAGATTCTAAACTTCAAAGACATTTTTTGAATGCAAAAATAATCTTATCTATAATTGATTCGTTATACTTTAATGGACAAGGCCGAAAAAATCCTTTCCTAAAAAATTAAAAAATAATTTCAATAACCTATATTTGTCACTCATTAGTTATTGGATATAAACCACAAAAATTTAAGGACGATGTATAAGTTTAAGAAAAACTATTGAAACTGTATCATAAAGAAAATTAAGTTTATTTTCTTTAAATATTTCCTTATAACAATAAATATGTCTTTTTCTGAATTTTAGGGAACTAATTCTTATAAAAAAAAACCCCTACGCTCGTATACGAGAGTAACCAAGCGTTCTCAGAATTTTATCTTTGGAGAATATACATAAAAATACTTTTTTTATTTAAAACCAAAGAGACTCGTAGTAATTAACAAGTTTTATAACATAATTAGATATTTACAAATGTAGGTATTAAAGTAAACATAATTTTAAAATTCAAAAAGTTAATTTTACTATACTATTTAGTTTGATTTAAAATAGAAATAATTTTCTCGATGATTTCATGATTCGGTTTTTAGTAATTCGTACAAATTTTCAGGAAAATGACGTTGTTTCTGGCGTTTGTATATTTTCTACAGCAATTCATATGTTTTGCAATAAGGTCTTCTCTATAGTTAATACTAGTGATGGGAAATATCGAATAGAAACTATCGAACTATTCGAACTATTCGATAGTCATTCAAAAAATATTCGATAGTTATACAATATATTCGAATAGTTTATGCTAAAAATAAACTATTCGGTTGTATAAACACAATTTGAATAGTTATACGATAGTTTAAAATATTTGAAAATGCCCATCACTAATTTTTACTATTATTAATTGTATAATAATTTATTTATAAGTATTCGTTAATTATCTTCTTATTATAATTAAGTATACTTAATAAAAATGTTAGGTAAAACTAATTGAATATTTTTTAAAACCATTCGGTAGCCCATTCGAATAGTTTTTAAAACTATTTGATAGTCTATTCGAATAGTTTATGCCAAAAATAAACTATTCGGTTGTATAAAAACTATTCGAAAATGCCCATCACTAGTTAATACATTGTTCTGGCTTGTCGCATGGGGTGTTCATGAATGATCCTAGTGTGCCCTATTCTAAATCTATTTATCACTACTTCATGATGTCTTATCGGGGATCGAGGAAATACATAAAAACATTTGATAATGTTTTTGTGTTTTGCTTTTGTTTCGAGATGATCCTCGTTTGAATGACTTTCGGCTTTAGCCAGATCTAATCGATCTCGATTTGGAGACAGTGTCGGTCTGGAACTTTAAAGATGGTCCCGGAGGCAATTTTTCTTAATTACGTTTCAGACAATTTTCTTAGTGGTCCAACGAGAAAAAAAAAATTTCAAATTTAATGAGAGCCTTCTGAGCCAGAATGACACTGCGAAAATATGATTTTTTGCCAGTGTTTTCATCTCGTTAACTTAATGTGTATCCTGCAAATACAAATGTATTGTTTTATAAATACAAAATTAATTTTTTTTAAAAATTTGAATATTCTTATATGTGCTTTTTAAAATATTTAAGCATATAAAAATAAAAATTAATTTTCAAAATAAAATCACGTTCACTATATTTTTTAATTTTATTTTTCGTAACAGTGCCTGTTACCTATTAATTGAACGAGAGTCATACACTTACCTTTTCTGTGTATTAACAATATTTTACGATTCATATGTATAATTATAATAATAATTTTAGTATATTAGTTCACTATTGCGACCTATTTAAATTCTCAAATCGTTTTTCAAATAAATACAAATGCATTAGTAAAGTATAAAGTGAAAATTGATATTATCACGAATTAGTTCGTTAATAAGTTTTAGTTATAAAATGTATTTATACAAAAAGATAAATATTTTAATATATTATAATATATTGTTTTGTGAAAATGTAATGCTAGATTTTAAATATATATACATATAATCTTATACAAAAAGTTGTACTGTTTCAATAATACATTATTATATTTGATTTCCATTTAATGAGAAAAAATGAATAATTGTTTGATTACCAATTATGATTATAAATTAAAATATTTAACTCTGTACGTATAACAGACAAAACTTCAAGTAATCATCACACAAATAAAAAAAAAAACTCAACCATTTTTTACTGAATCGACTGCATATTTTTAACTCGTGTTAGTTAAGTTTAAAACTAATTATCTTAACAGAAGAGTTAAGTAAGTTTATGATTAATTATAAACTATTGTCCACTGTTAACTTATAACTGCCTTGTGTTTACTTAATTTGACTAGAGCGTAGAAGTATGGCAAAAAAATATTTGGGAACTCTAACTACATAATTTTTTACCTAATTTAAAAAATGTCTATATAACAAGAAATACAAATTAATTCAATTTCGGTATATTCTATGGCAAAATTTTAGGAGACGAAACTCCCTCAAGTCTCTCCAGATTACGGTCAATCAAAAGATTAAATCCAAAATGGACTGAATTAATTTCGTTGCCCATCTTTGAACAATGAAATGATATTAAATCATATTTTTGTTTGATTTCATACGAGGCTAATTGGAATGACAGTTTTAGAGAATGGGATACCGAATACCTTTATAAATCATCTGTTTAATAACGAAAACTATCATCAGTAACACGTACCCCTATATTTTTTTTACCAAATAATAAATGAGAAAACTACAACTAATTAAATGTTATAATAACAGGCACTAATAAGGAGAGTAATCATCGTCGTAGTAAAATCTAAATTCTTGTAACCAGGTATTCGCAGTAATTGTTGTTGGAGGATTTTTTCACAATGTCATAGCATTATTAGTTCGTGACAATCCCCGTAACCCTCTAAGAAATATAGCTCTAAAGATTTTTTTTTTTTGATTATCACTGATTTTTATCAATTTTTTTTTCTATAGTATCTTTATTTAAGTAAAAAAAAATAAATACCCTCTTAAAATGATTTCTAAATACACCCCCGGTGAATATTTTAGTAAACAAACGTCATCTTTATACATAATACATTTTACTATTATATTTTTTTGAATTTTCTTGATTTTAATAATTAAATTTTTAATATATCTTTGTTACACTGATTCTGATGTAATATTTTTCCTGTAAAAACACTTATCAAGTACCAAACATTTTTTATATAATATACAGTACCCCAAAAACTTACTGTTTTCATAGGAAATATTACATCCCAGGCATCCCAACTAGACTGGCTAAAATATCTGGTTTTACTATTGTCTATATATATTGTAACATTTCAATTATAAAAGCTATACATATAATATTTTGTGGTATTAGTATAGAATATACAATATGTACTTTTAAATGACTACAAAGAACATATAAACACTGAAGTATTTATGAACTGTATTTGTAATGTAATAAGTATTATATTTTAACTAAATTATTTGTTTTACAATGTTAAATTTATTCGTCTGTTAGACAACTCTAAAGTATTTAAAATGGACGTTACATCGATTTCTATATCTTTTTCAATTTTAAGTAATCCCAAGCTACTGAATCTTTCTTGTAACATAGTTGACTGAAACCATATTTTCAATCTTCTCATGGCAGAAGATGACCTGTGTTAAAAATACTTACTGATAATTCCACGGTTATATTTTATATTACGATATAAAATTATATTATTTTAAACCGTGCTTTATACATTTTTATACTTCAATCTACGATATTTATTATTAAATAATAAACAAAAGCTGTGTGTTAACTGTAAGAACAATAAAAAAATAAATAGGTTTAATTTACTGGACGGTAGAAAACATAGGATAATTTTAGGGGGGCCAATCCCCTCTAGTACCACTTTATTAGAACCTATGCTATGTGGAGTCGCAGTTAGGCGAAGCCTAGTTATATTTATAAATAATATACGATTTATATATTTGTTGAAAGAGGAATATATTGTGGATCAACGAAAGATAAATTACAACATAATTAATTACAATAAAATAATGAGTAATATTTTACTATAACAAAAACATATGCTAATGTATAAATAAAACTGTGTTCTAAAAATGTAAGACTTTATGCTTACAAAACGTTCTACCGAATAATACGACCTACTTAGAGTAGAGATATAGTATACCATAAATTCTTATCTAACAATTAGTACATTTACTTGCATGAAATTGTTTTTATGATAAATTAACACTAATATCTACGCAATAATTTAAGATTTTGATTTTTCTATAAAATTTAAAGTCAAATTTACATGTAACTAAAAGGATCATATAACAGTGAATTAGAGTTCAGGTCTATCTTTCACTGTTTATAATATATGAAATAATAATTCATGTATATTGTGTGTTAAGATCACAAATTTTGAAAGAAAAAATTTTTATTTCAATTACGAAAACTTAATAAAATAAATATTAAAAAACAAAAATTATTTTTAAATTACATTCTATTTAAGCTAGAATTTTTCTAGCTGTTACATCATATTTCAAACACGTACACGTGACTAATATAAAAAAATTAAAAGATAATAAATCTATTTGAAAGTATTAAAAAATTTAACATTCCTTTGACGGCTTTGTATAAACTACATAAATTTGCGTAAAATAGCAGTATAAAATCCTTAAGTTTGGAGTTTTAGTTAATTTCAAAGTATTTTGTAAAATAGTTTAAAAATATAAATGAATTATTTTATTTTTTAGTATTGATTAAAGAATATTAATAGTTATGGATCAAGTGATTTATGAAATAACATTTCAAATGTGTTTTATATTATCTACTACAGCAAAATATTTTAAGCTACATAACTTTTTATAATATCAAATATTTATAAGATTAAAATATTTTAAAGTTATTTTATTGTTAAATATAGATTTTAATATTTTAATTTTTTATGGAAATAAAATATTGATTAGTAGATTATATTATTGTTATTCAGTCAAAGAAAATTCCATTTCTGGTAACGAGTCGAATCTTATCAGTAATTCGGAACTTATCTTTATATCATCCCTAGTTCCTAATGTTTTAAAGTTTAGACGTCGTAATATAGTGGAAATTACAATTTTGATCTGAAGCATTGCAAATTTTTGTCCTACAATTCGTTAAAAAAATTATTAATTAAAATAACCTTTAATTAAATGTAGAATTGTATAATCAGAAAAACTGCAAACCAAAACAAATGGCTTCAAGTACTTACCAATACAGTTTCTTTGTCCAGCACTAAATGGTAAATACCCAAACAAAAATTTTGATTTATTATCTTCGTCCGAAAATCTTTCAGGATCAAATTTTTCAGGATCTGGATATAATTCTTCATTACGATGGATTACGTATGGTAATATAGACAACACTGTATTCCGAGGTATAATGTAGTTGCCTAAAATAGTTGTACAGTACATGTATTAAAAATATTTTCGCATCTATTTTAAGAAGACATTTTATTCCTTTATAACATGAATAATAATGATTTAAATAAACAAATAAAAAATTAATAAACATAGAAGTCTTTACCAAATGAAATGAAGATAGTTGAAAAGTAATGTAGTTATACATTATTTATGGAGGTTGAATAAATAATGTCCCACCCTATATTATATAAATAATTTTAATAATAAATTTTCTTTTTTATTAATGAATTTAATTGTAATTCATTTTTTAAATTTGTTTTTGTTAGTAAGACATTCAATAATTTTTGTTTATAATAGAAATGACGCTAATTATGGACTTATTTTGTTGTTTTAGTTCTCTGCGCCATTTCTTCAATGCATATTTAACAATTAATAGGTTTATTATCTTTACCAAAGTTTTGATAAGTAAAAAATGGCGATACTCTCAAATATAAGAAAAAATACATACTTAACTGTAGATCATCATTTAATTGACGGGTTATTTGTGGTACACTAGGATAAATCCTTAGACATTCTTTTATCACGTTTTCTAAGTATTTCATATTATTAATGTCTTCCATTGTCGCGTCTCTGTCCGAATCACCAAATATAATATACAATTCATCTCGAACTAATTTCTAAAAAATAATAACAAATTCACTTATTTATAAATTAATTATAAATTAATTTGTTTACTTGTATATCTTGGTAAATTCCTAATAGTAATAAAACTACGGTAAGATTGATTGAAGTTGTGTCATGACTTTCAAAAAGAAAAGTATCTACTTCTTCTTTAATATCATTATCAGTCATTTGATTTGGATATTCGTCAGACATTTTAATGAGGAGTTCCAAAAAAGATATTTTTTTCGATTTTGCTAAATAAATTTAATCATTAAAAAATATCAACCAGAAGCTGTGGTGTTATTTTATTTTTTCTATTGCTACAAACCAGTAGTGATATCTTCTTCTGAGGTTTTGTTGTTTTTTTTTTCACTTAAAGCTATTCGTTTTTTTTTGATAATCTAGTTTAAAAAAAAAAAAAATTACCCATTAAACTTATGTACAATTCTTTATTTGTTTTTTACTTACATCTTCGGTATAACGATGTAGTACATCAACAGACGCATAAAACATTTTGCCAGACTTACTTAACTTAAATATAAAATCATTCCATAGCCAAAATTTAAAAATCCTTTCAGTCAATGCCTTAGATGCGCTAAAAAATTACATTTTAAACATTTAGTACGTTGAAAAGAACTCATATTTAAACATGTATGCATAGACAAAATGACAATAGTTCATAAATTATTTCTCGGGTATCGTATTTATCCTATTTTATTGTATCTGCGATTGAGATAAAAAGAATCAAAGAAATAATATTAACCGTTTTTGATTGTTAAAATTTTATCTATTTCAACTAAGTTTATTAATGTATTCAAATAAATAGTATTTAATTTTTCTTGTTTCAAAACTATTACCTTTTAGTTGCTTTGACGTAATTTTGTGACTGTCCTTCTTGTGACCTCATATTAACACCCATAATTGTTTCTAGAAATTACAATGATTAATGTAAGTATTGTCATTTATCATTTATTATTTTTATTTTATGTAAACGTCGTATAATATAACAAAACATTGAATTTTAAACATTCATAAATTAGGTGAATAGAATTATAATAAGTATAATTTTTTTTTGTTAAATGATTTTTTTTTTCGAATTTAGAACTAATTTAGATATTTTTAGCAAACTCTAGGAAGTAAAAGATCTATTGATCGTGTAAAATTATTAGTGTTACAATTAAAAAAAAATTAAACTATATTTACGACAAGCTATATCCAAAGAACACAGTATTATGTACTCTTTAATATTAATTTTTTTTTCATTTTGAGACACTTCAAGCAATTTTTTTGTTAAAATTTGCGAATGTTTGTTTATTGCAGGCATATACATGTCCAACGTTTGATAGTGAAACGTATTTGTGAGTAACTTTCGACGTGTAAACCATTTTGAACCTATAAAAATATATTTATACAAAAAAAATATTATAATTATATGCAATTTTTGTTCAACATTTGAATACCTGCACTTATTAAAAGTCCTTCATTTAGCCAAGGCTTCACCATGTTATATTCTGGTCCTTTAGTTATATGTTGTGTACTGGATAAAACTATCTAAATGTTATCAGATAATAATTAGTTAGATCATTTTTAAATTGGTAAAAAAAAACGATTTATTATTTTATAATTAATATTTTATGTATAAGTTTTTTTAAATATTAAAATATTTTTGATTTTTTCTAATCATCGTTTATGTTTTTATTTCTAGCTTATTTATAATATTTGATATAACTTTTGAAGTTATATACATTTATAGACTTAAGCTGGAGGAGAAGTGATACTAAGAAATATTTAGTGATAAGAATAGCAAAATTCACACCTCATTTCTTGTCATAACATTAAAATATTTAGAACTTCTGAATTACTTTCTAAAATATGTCATCAATCATTATTTTTTTTTATTAGATCATTACCCAATAAATTAGTTAAATATGTATGTTGCAATCTAAAAAAATAAAGTTGACTACCCTTAAACGCTATAAACGATATACATTAAAATACTACATGATTGATAAATTGACAAAAACATGTAATTATAAGAAAATCAAAAACCAAAAAAAAAAAAAAATTATTAAAATTATCTTTATTATTTGACTAAGTAAAAGGTTACTGATAAAATAATTGCTGTATATTTACTTGTAGATTATAAGTTTAAAATTTGTTTAGGTATTATATTCAAAATATTGAACGCGTTGTGTTAATATTATAATATTATAGTTAAAAATTAGTTATTTGTTATCACGATTTTAAAGACAAGTTTGTTGTGGTCATCGTAATAGAAATATTATTGTGTATACTCATGTATATTATTCATACATATACGTAAAATAGACACATCTAATTGCTTATTACTTATCATTAAGAATTTGAAAATTTGTATGATTAGTATTATAATTTAAAAGTCATGGTAGCTATTGAAAATAAAAAAGTAATAATAAAAATATTGAGAACTTCATTAATTTTGAATCAATTAGAATATTACTACTAAGTTATAAAAAAGTAATACGTGCATCAACAAATTAATTTGTATTTAAGATTTTATCTTTTGACACTTATAGCTAAACGAAAAATTTGCTATCTTTGCAATATTTATGAATAAACAGATGAATTGGTGATTTATTTAACTAATAATTATATATTTAACTGTCTAATATAAATATATAATTATAGTACATATCGCTATGCGCAACGAATAAGACAGTATTAATCCCCTCTTGTGAGTACGTAAATGATCTTCTTCTTCTTCTGGCATGTCTACTCTCTAAGAGTTTTTGACGTCATTACTACACTTCGCCACCTATCTCTATCTTGTACTAACTCTCTCCAATCTTCAACACCAAGGGTTTTTAAATCTTCTTCCACCAGTCTAAAGGTAGACCTAAGAAAAGATGGATTCTTTTCTTAGGTCTACCTCTAGACTTTTTCCCTTGTGGTTTCCATTCCAACGCTACTCTAATTGTTTCGTCCTCTCCTCCTCTCATTACACGACCTAACCATCTGTATCCGTTTGCCCTTAATAAAGCTTGTTACTGGTGCTAGTTTTAACATATCATTCAACTCTTTGTTGTGTCTCCTCCGCCATTCCCCCGTGATTTCATCGATGATAGGTCCACATATTTTCCTCCATACTCTGTTCTCGAACGTCCTCAGATTTCTCTCTGTTTGTATAGTCGTCGTCCAAGCTTCGCAACCATACGTAAGAGTCGATCTTATAATAGCAACATACAGTCTTGCTGTTGTTTTCCTAGACATCATTTTGGATGTTAAGAATTTTGTCATTGCGTAGAAGGCTTTTTGGGCTTTATTTATTCGAATACTTATTTCCTTTGCTCAGTCATTCTTTGTGCTTAACGTTGCTCCCTCAGGTAAAAGATCAGATTTTCAAATAATTATATTAAATAAAAGGGAATTATTTAAGGTTTCTATATTAAAAAAATTATTTTGATTTGTTCATTTTTCAATAAGTTATGACAATTTTTAGAAAAAAATGTTGAAATTTACCGATTTACCGAAAAGTCATAATTTTTTGGGAGATTTTTATCATTTACGTCGAACGAAGGAACATTTTTCAATTTTTGAGGGAAATGTCTTCAACTAGATACGATTTTTGATAATTTTATGTAAATAAATAACCACATCATGGAAAAATTAAAATCTTCTCAGCTTCGCATCGAAGCTAATAATGTGTATTATTAAGAGTAAAATTTATATATTACCGAATTTTTTTTTTAATGATCACTAAAATTCAATAAAAAATAGCTTAACCCGCTTTTTAGCTTAGTAACAATTAGGGGAATGAATTTTAGTCATTAAATTTTTGTCCCACATGTAAAAAATAGGTTTGGCGCCCCTGTCAATGTATAGACAATTTGGATTGAATCGGAATTAAACTACTAAGAAAATTGATAAGCATAAAGCATGTAATCAGAGAGTAATTTTTATTTTTGATATCCTGAGAAGTGAGTTAATGATTTATTCGTTGCGCATATTGATATATACCACATAATATTAGAATGATTAGTGATTTTTTTTTTTAAGTATACGGAATACTTTCTAAATTATTCATATATAAAATTAAGATTTAAATAATAACTTTAAACACGTGCTTTATAGTCCTTGAAATTACTTAAATAGCTCCAATAGCACATGAACGATTTTATTCTGAAAAGAAATTATACAAAAAATATTGTTCTTACATTTTCCATTTGCTAACTATATAAATTCGAAAGCAATTGAAGCCAAAAAATGTTTCCGACCTAGAATTTAATAATACGTGAAAACTCTATTGTCGGACCTCAAGGAGGCATTGACATAATTACAGAAGAAATATTACACCTCCTATATCATCCCTAGATAAAAGTAACTGCATGGTGAAGATAAAATTTTTTTTGCTATAGAAAGTATTGGAAAAAGTTCTTTTATTAATTCTCCTTTAAAATGAAACTACACTATTTCAATACATGTCAAATTTTGTTTATACCACACTCTAATAAACAATATCGGTATTCAATACTTTTGAAAGAAATAAAAAATTGTTTTTTTTTTATAAAAAGAAGAAATATTTAAATTCCCCTTGTTTTTTTATAAATTTATTCTAAATTTTTTTAGGATTTTAAGGGGTGGATTTGAATAAATAAATACTTTATATCTATTGAATGCATAAATATATTAGGTAGACCGTTCGATTAATAAAAAATACTTTAATAATGAGAATTGATATTCAATATAATTTGGAATACAAATAAAAGTCAGACTTACTTTTAAATCTTTTGGATCTGATATTATTACATAGGGGCGTCCCATAAGATTTATATGGAAAATTCGACCATATTTTTTTTCAGCGTTTAAGAAAAATGAAAGTAACCCTGAAGCACAAAATAAAAAAAATGTATTAACTAAAAAGATTTAATAATACCAAGGAAAATCAAATTTAAAGCTTAAAAAACTGATGAGACAAGGAATAGGGTCATATACTAAAATTTATATTCAATATTTATTTTTTTTTATAATCATTAAGCAATTCCGGCTTGCTTTTGCAAGATTATAGGCATCTTAATGAATCGTTTAGATTTAAGGGTTTAATTAATTTTATAAGGTGTTAATCTACTTTATCAAACACCCTTTTATTCCAAATTTTTTTTTGTAATTAGTTTAGTTTTTTATGCTGATCAAGAATATATACAAAATTCAAACGATTTGAAAGTTACAGGAACTTTAATTTATGATTCATTTAATCCACAATAATTAAAAAAATTAGGATTTATTTTGGCTGTTTTCTGTTTATATATTCATATTATTGTATGAATTATTTAAATAATTAATTAATTTAAATATTAATTGTTAATAATTGTAATTATTGTTTCAAAATTATAAGCGTTACTATTTTTTGTTTAAAACGTTACCTTCTTTGGAACATTTTCTTAAAATGTTTAGTTTATTTTTATTTTTTAATGCGCAATTTCGATAAATAGCGCATGTTAGATAATAGCATGTCTATATTGTAAAACGATGTATGTTTATAATAACAAAAGTTATCGACAAACGTTTACTATTGCGGGATGCATTTCTTTGATCTAATAACTGTCGTGCAAATGTTTTAATTAGTTTAAATATTAAACTTAATGTATATTAACATTCGATCAAGAGTTTTATTTTTTTTCGTATAAGATTATTGACAAATAGTTATGTTTTAAACATTTAAATATAACTATCTCCTCATCGTGTAAGTTTATTTTTTGCTTCAATCAAGTTAATAAAAAAACTTAATGTAGCATTAAACCATTGAATCGATGCAATTTAATTTTGATAATTACGCAATATTATAACTGCATTATGCAACAATGCGATTTGAAAACACATCATTATATTATGCATTACTGAAATTTAATACAGTAATATTACATGAGAGAGGGTGACTACCCTTAGAGATGTTACTTGTTAAAATACTCACTGTATAATGGTAATCCTTTAAAATAGATTTTTGGCTATTATATCATAAATAAAAAAATATATATACATCTATGCAAAAACTGTTTTTGTAATTACACAATAAAAATTATGTCATTTAGCTTTATGTTTTTATTAAAATTTTACAATAAATCCATAATAATGAATAATAATAAAAAAACCGCATTTTTGAAGTATTTTTAGTTTTTATTAGGACCATTTTTAAAAGCTGTAATTTTCAAACCACTTGACGAAGCCAGTTTTTTCAAACGAGTATAAAAAACAAACCACATTTACGCTTTGAAAAAAAAAGTGTTTGGTTAAGTAGATTTCTTTCTTATTTATTTTTAATTTAAATATTATAGTCTTAAATTTAGCTTGAACAATACGCTCTTAATTTAAAAATAGACTCATGATATGCTATCAAAATGTAGTACTCTATTATAATTTAATAAGTGTAATGGATTAAGAAAAATATTTCTGCTCTCATATAATAAATGTACATTTTTCATACCAGAAGGTTCTGTTAAACCCAACTCGAATGATACTTTTATGAAATTCCAAAATCCTTTTGTCATAGACGGTAGTTTATCTAATAATTTTTGCTCCTTTGTTGGAAAATAAATATTTCTACAAACACTCATGACAAAACATGATATTACGGCATATATAACAAGCCATAATACATTCAAAAAATATAATTCTAACATTTTTTGTTAAAAAATTGATTAAACTTAATCTATATTTCTCTAACACGGTCTGTCAGGTAAAACGTTTTTGGTTAACTGAAGTGTTGTAGGATATATATGACTAATAATGGTAAGTGGGAATGAGCATTGGAAGGGGTTTAGTCTAAAAACATTCGTTTATTAAATACTATTTTGCCAATAACACTTTCACCGTTTTGTATAAGGAACATGATATTTATATTACGTTGCATATTATTATTTTATGAGTATAATTAAATGTTAAATAAATGTATATGCTTCTACATACAGTTCCTATTTATACAATAATTGTATATTATGTATAAGTAAATTATTTACTTTATGTATTATTATTTATTATTTTGTATTACGTATGAGTCAATTTTTTTAATATTTTTCACATTTTATGATAAATAGAAAACTTTGATTTATTCTGGGTAAATGAAGTCCGTTGTGTTTATTAAGTTATGTTACAACTTTTGAAAAATGATACATATGTATGATTATATATGATATGTTTAAAAAAGTACAGAGTGATTGATTAAAAACAAGACACTCATTTTCTCAAAAGCATTTAAGAATTAAAAATTTTGCGTAAAGAATAAAAGTATTTGGCTCAAAAACTCAAAAAAAAAAAATACATAGATTAATAAAATTGGGTCGGTACAATTCAAGGTTGGCAAAAAAGCTTACTACAAAAAAAAAATCGATGATCATTTGTGTGATAAATTCGTAAAACTTATAAAAAAATCAGAGTTATTTTTTGTAAGTTTTCCTTAGGCACAAAAAAAATGTGTTTAAAGTGTTTTCTTCATTTAAGATAACAAAAAAATATTAAACAAATATTTAAAAAAATAAAAATTAATAAACATATTTTTATTATTAATGCGGAGCTTAGTGTCTATATTTGTTTTTATTTCTTTGTCAATAAAAAAATTATTATTTTTGTTGAACCCGGGTCTTTTTTAGATAAAACCTAATAAATTTATCCAGGCAATAGGTTGATATAAAATCTGGTGAGTTTTTGGACTTTTTTAGATAAAACCCCTAAAACCTTGACGTCTTGTGTTAAAAAAAAACAGATTTTTGCCAACCCACGTATATACTTAATTTATGTATTAAAATGCTGATATGGATGAACGGTCATTGGATAAAAAAATTTTTAAATTGAATTTTTTTCATATCACTAAATTATAAATAGTAGTTTCTGTTTAAGAATATTAAAGTTGAAGTTTTTAATTTATGAAGAGATTAAAAAATAAATTATACTACATATGTATCATTATAGTTTTTTAAACCAATTATTTTTTCTCTTTACAAAATTTTAAAATTCTTAATAATTATTGAGGAGATGAGTGCCTTATCATAATCCATCACTCTTTATAATAAAAAAAAACATTATAAAATATTTTCAGTTATATATTAGGTAATAAGTACAATAATAAAATTTAATAATAATGAGCTAATGTTGTATAGTATTGAATTTTATAGGTGGTAGGTCATTAGCTCTCAATACTAATTCAGCGCTTAGTTTTATATCATTTTTTGTTCCTAGAGTTTTCACCTTCATGTTTCGTAAAACTGTAGCCAACATTGTTTTTATTTGGTACATGGCAAACTTCTGGCCTGTAACAATATTGTAATTTTCTATTAATTATCAAGGCTAAGTAAGTTAACACATTTGTTTTAAGCAGTTATGTGAAGTAAATTTCAAAAAGATTAAATTAAGTCAAGTTAAAAGTAACTTGAAAATAATATCTAACTTAATTTTTTTTTTATGTAAAACATCTTTTGTGGTGGGTCAAACCGGCTGTTGGCGTGGATATGCGTCGTTACAAGCGAATGACGACGACTCTCTTTACAACTCCGCAAAGTGATTCCCCTCTCTCATAATGTACTAAACTAGTATACCTATGCCATATGCATTGGTGCCCATTAGGGGGAAGGGCAATAGAAACATATCTCTCTCTCTCTTAAAAATGTGTGATTCTTGAAAAAAGTGGTTCTTTTTACGTAATGTATGCTAAAGGTGGACAAAACGTAATCCCCTCTTTTTATCAACATGCTGAACACGTATACTTATGGCGTATGCAGTGTTGTTCACTTTGGAACATACTGCCTGTGTTTTATTTGAAAGTAATAACTGTAACGATAAAATTTGAGTGACTGTGATTGTTTAAAACATAGTTTGACTCTTGCAAAAAAAGTAAAATTACACTATGTCATACAATCAAGTAGTAGTATCGACCCCTACATACATGTATTGTGATAAAGTACAGAATGAGTGTTATATAGAGATACATGATTATCCTTATAATTGTCTGCAATTTTATGAATAGGAAACGTAATAAGTAATGATTAAAAGAATGCCATAAAAAATTTGTCACCAGCGATATTGCAATCTAGTGATTCAAGTCAAGATAAGTTAATTATGTTTTTATAATTATGGCGTGCAATCGTGTGCACAGGGGTCTCGGGTTCGATCTCTAGGGAGCCAAAGAAATTTTTTCTTGTGATATTCTCATTACAATGTATGCAATTGATGCATTTACTAAACACCTCCTGAGAAATTTCAAAATCAGTATTGTATCAAATTATTGTTTTGCCTAAGTACAAAATGTACATTTAAGATAAATAATAGATTATAGGGAGTCGTACATGAGAAAAAATTAGAGCACTGTGAAATACAAACTTAACGATATTTTACTTCTACTATACTAATTTATCTTGATGTTAAAATGTTATTAAAGTTAAAAAAGTTTTAACTTAATTTTAACTTTTCAACTAGTTAAAGACCTATCTAGTTAATAACAATATAATTTATTAAAATTATTAAATAATATAACTCTTTTGCACTTTTGTGATACATTAGTATCCCAAGCAGATTTCATCATTCGTTTAACATTTTGTAAGAAAAAATAAAATAATTCAATAATAATATATATATATATATATATATATATAATTAATTAATAATTCCCTTCTCTCTTTTATATTCTTGTATGACCATATTGGTATCAAATATCAAGCACTACTAATTATTACTATAACAAAATATATATTAAAATTTAAAATAGTAACCTATACAATTTCTAGGCCCAGCACTGAAAGGTAAGAATGCATATGGATGACGTTCAATATTAGGTAAAAATCGATCAGGGTTGAACTCTTCTGGATTTGGGAAAAACGATTCATTTCGGTGTAGTAACCAAAATCCAATTGCCACGACTGTATTCGAAGGTATTGTGTATTTTTCTATTATTAAAATTATATTGTACAAAAATGTTGATATACTTTTCGATGTTTTGAGACTTTACTTAAATGAAGAGGGCTATTTAGTTTCCTCGTAATTCCTGGTACACTTGGATACAGCCTTAAAGTTTCCTTGATTACTCTTTCCAAATAATGCATTTTTTTAAGGTCATTTATGGTGATTTCACGATTGCTGCCTTTAAAAATATCATCTAGTTCTTGTCTAACCAAATTCTAAAAAAAAATAAATTCGTTTATAGTTTAGAACTGAACATAATGTTTTAAACATAAGTTATTTTGGGTAGCCTACTTATCTCAGTCGGGAAAACGGCATACCTCGGTACATAGGTACCGAGTTTCGAATCTGTAGCAATGTGCTATATAGGTTTTCTCACAAACTTTTAATAGTGGACGTGAAACATAAATAGTTAAATAAATAAAAAATTTTAGTAACACTTCATTAAGGAAGCAAAACTATAAAATATTGTACCCTCTGCTCCGGTTTCACTAAGTGTATTGAATTCTAAAAAATAAATGCATCATTTGCTAAATAACGAAAATTGTTTATTTTTGTGATACAGTCTTCCGGACAATATTTTTTTTTTAATTCATCAGTATTAAATAAGAACATATTAAATTATAAAAATACTGTCATACAATAATCCCAGTAAATTATGTTAGCTTAAATTACAGATTTTTCTGAGTTTGTCACCCCCTTCTCATAACCCTCCTCATTTAATAGATCTAATTAAAAAAAAAAAATACTTGCAAAAAAACATATTATTAGAATAATATAATTTAGGCTGAATAAGTTAAAAATATTGCTTCAAAAACACCTGTATATTTTGATATAGTCCCAGATTAATGAGTGCCATTGTTACAGCAATAGAAGTTGTATCATGTCCTTCAAATAAAAATGTGTCTACCTCTTCGCGAATGTCACTGTCGGCCATTAAAGTTGGATTTTCAAGGGATATTCCAATTAATAAGTCCAAAAAACAAACTCTTTTTATTTCTTCTTGTGCTATATTTTCTTAATTAACATTCGTATAACTAATTAATTTGTTAATTTATTGAAACATAAGAACAATTTAAACAAAAAATTTGAGTCTAAATTATTCTACTTGCCTCCTTAAAATATATTTATTTATAAATATATATATATAGTAATTTTTATTTGTGGCCAGGTTTCATCTAGCCTCTATATTACAACATAATAAAAAATTCAATTCAAAAATTATAACTCTGTGAGTTTTATCATTTATTCCATTGATATCTCATTTCATATAATTAAGATTATAATTATAAATAAGCATATAAATTAATAAAATATTTTATTTTATATTTAATAATATATAAATAATTAATAATTATTAAATGAAATAGAAATTGTTTACCATGTTTCTCCTCCATCTCAATTTTTGCGTTACAAAATAATTTGCGTTTTTCTTTTATGACCTAGAATTTATAAGTGTCAAAATTATATACGATACATATAAATAATTTAAATAGCGTAATTAATAATAATTAATATGGTTTTTATGTACATTATTTTGGTTTCAATAAGTTAATACTAATTAAAAGGTAAGTGTATTGCAAAGCATTGTTGTCATTTCGGGAAATATGGATGATGATTTACAATTTTTTTTCTTTTTTGTTAAATGGGAGTAGCAAAAAATATTCTTATATACAACCCCCTTTCAAGATGAAATTCTTATTATGCCACTATTGAATAATAGTAAAATAATAAAAAAAATGTTGGGTTGCTATTTAATCGATAAAATTTTTTTCTTTGGTGTTTTCTGCTTGTTCAGCTCGTTTTTTTTGCAAGAAAAATATCTTCACTTATTTACTGGTAAACATTTACAGAGGAAAAATTAAAAATTATTTTATTTAGGATAGTTTTAGATAACAATTTACAAAAAATGAAGGTCTCAGTGCAACAACCAAACAAGTGCAATTTTCAATAGAAAAAAACACAGAATTCGGTGTTTGTTACAATTTTTTTTAAAAATTGCCTTTTTTTATTTAGTTATTAACCTTATTATAAGCTAGTCCTTTATAATAACGAATAAATTAGTAAATGAGTATCGTGGTTTTAAAGTACCATTTTTATTACTATAAATCTGAGATTAATTTTATGAATTTTTGATGACATTTTATATACTAATACACTTTTTATTCAATATTCTAATTATTCACTTATGCGTTGTAAAAGTATTAGTTTGAATCGCGACATAGTTTCATGTTTTAAATTTTGTGTTAGTAATAGTATATAAGCAAATTCCTGTATATATTCACAAAAGAAAAAGTTGCATTTGGTAAAATTAGGTGAACATTTATGAAGTGAATTACCGCCATTCCGCAAGCATTCGGATCCATCGAAATGAAAGAATTACATTAAGAAATCTTATTGTGTTTTATCATATTGGCTATTAAAAAAACTGCTATAAAGTCACTATTGATATAAGTAAAAAAAATAAACTATTACGAAATAAATCTAAATAAAATATTTTTCAAATAGGTACGATATACCACTTTTTTTTATTAATTTATGATAAATGGTTATAGATGTATAGCTTGTAAAACTCTAGTATTCATTTTTAACTTAAATTTTAATTAATCCGGAAAAAATAAAAATCTCGTTTATGAATTACAATTATTTTATTTATTACCTATTGTTTTCCTAGTGTAAGTAGTGTATCAATATTTTTTTCTCGTACATATAATGAAACTTTATAACTAATAAAGATATTTTCTTAAATAATTTTCATTTAACATTATCTGTTACCTCATTACCATTAATTATAAAAATATAACTACTTCAAGTAATATTGATGACTTATAGGTTAATTAATAGAAAATGTTATGTAAATTAAATTTACATTAAACTATTTAATGTTTCTTTAAAACTTTTAAAACAAAATAATGTTTTTCGATATTATATGATACTTAGTTATCCCAATGGATAGAATAGAAAACTACCACGGCCCATCTGCTAGTCATAAAAGGCGACTAATGAGGTTGCGCCAGGTCGACAGCTAGCGTAAAATTTTGTCAAAAAGTATGAGAAGTCCTAAACAAAACTTTAGCCAACCCTAAGTAGTTGGAATTAAGGCGAGGAAAAAGAAAGAATCTTATTACCACAAAAAAATTGATGTATGTATATATATATATATATCAAAGTACATTTAAAATGGATTGGAAAATAGCTTACATATAGCAATTTCAAAGAAATCTATTATGTTTCTGAATTTCCTAAAAAATTGTGTATTATTAAGTTTTTATAACATATAATGAAATCATGTGTAAAGTCTTCAATTGCTTATTTTTAAATATTTCTATGTGTGAAATTTCTTAATTTTTGTTCTGTATCCTTAAATTACTACTATTTTTTTGTACTTTCAAGTTTGTTAATTTTATTTTATTAATATTTTTCAAATGTTACTTAGTTTTTAAATTTATTTTTTGTGAATTAACATTTTTAATTAATACTTATGATTGCCACCCTGAATAAATATTATATCAGTGTAAAAAGTGAATAATGTGTAAACGCTTAAAAACATCTTCCAATACACAAGTTTTACCTAAATATATAAATAAAATTTTCAAAAACTATTCTATAAAATAAAATCTTAACTGTACTTATTTATTTATAAAAAATTAATTTGCGACTTAATAACTCATGGAATTCATTATTATACGAAATTAGAATGATTTTAAATAAATTTGAGTGATTGTAATAAAAATAGGTTTTTAAGTTTAAAATAATAATGAATTTTTTAAATGTACAAAAAATAGATAATTAGATTTTTTTCAAACAAATTAAAACACCAAGTACTATTAAAATCAATACGATTATATTAACGCGGTTACATAAATTTATTTTATGTAGTAATGTTATTTTTTGGGGGTTGAACCAAACTTTTATTTTTTCATTCGAACCCAAACCGAACTAAACAATTTAAATATTTAATCGACACATTTTTTATAACATTATTAAGCAAATTTATTGTTATATTTAATCATATTTGTTTTGGTTTAATGATTTTTTTTTTAATTTTAAGTTTGATTTTCAAACTAAAATGAAGTCTAGTATTTAGATTTTCGAACATAACTAATTTTATTGTATATTATAATAAATATTACGTTTTCTGTAAACTTGTGTAAAATGTTTAATGATTTCTCGAAGTCTCTTCCACTTTTACTTAACTTAAATAGTGTTTCATTCCATTGCCAAAATCTAAAAATTCTTTTTATCAAAATTTTGCTCACTCTAAAAAAAAATATTAAAACTAACATTAGTATTAGTGACTAAGATCATAATCTCAAAGTTTCCAAATCTTAGAAAACTCTTTGAAAGTGTTAACATGATAATAATAACTATAATAAAAATATCGTAGTAAAAGGAATTTTACAAAAATTATTATAACAAATATTCTTATTTTGGTATTTATATTTTTAAAAATGCATAATTCCACTTAATATAAAAGTAATCAAACAATTAAAATTGTACAGGTTTCAATTGCTGAATAATAACGTTAAAATTTTCTAAATAAATTCATACATGTTTTAATTTTACTTACGTTTTAATGGCTGATACGTACTCGCTTGATTTTCCTTCTTGGGATCTTAAATTTACTCCCATGATTGTTTCTATTTAATTTTTTTTAATAAAGAATTAAAATAAATTATTTATGTTTTTAGCAAGATTAATCTAAAAAGTTTGTTTAATATATAAAATATTATAATTAAAACGTTTAAAAATACTTTTCTAAAACTTTGATTAAAAATGATTTAATATAGCTGATGTTTAATGAGCTTATTTCAAAATATTACTCCAATAAATTTCAATATATTAATTATTATTGCATCCATAAGTAATTATTGTCTTTAAGAAATAATTCTAATAATTTTGATTTGTGAGAGAATAAAATTCTTATTTTACCTTTCATTGCAGTGGGGAGTATATAATGACAAGAACGCACCAATTGGCGTGTTTTTGTTACCATTAAATCTTATCACTTTAAATAGAAACTTTGCTTTATTATTTATATTAAACTATTTTATTAAGAAATAATTTGTAAAGAGCAAGAAATTTCCTTATGTTTAATGTAAACTTTATGCTTAGTACTCTAAGGAAAAATGTTTTTCTAACTAAGGCTGTTTAATTATTATAAATATAATAATATATATGTATATATATATATATATATAAAATAGTATTTACCACAAATTATGTCCAATGAACAGAGAGTGACATGTGAGTTTATTTTTGACACACACTGGCTGTCTTTTGACGCTTTTTTAAGATTTTGCATCAAGTTATAGGAATGCTTATTTAAAGTAGAAATATATGATTCTAAGATTTTAAAATGAAAAGTATTAGTCAATAATTTTCTTCTCCAATGCCATTTTTCATCTAAAACATTTTAAAGTTTATTGTTAAAAACACATGTGTTTATTTAAAATAGCTCATTAATAGTATTCAAAAAATGGTATTACAAAAAAAAGTAATAAGATAAAACAATAAAATATAATTTATAAACAAATAAATTGATTTCATTTTTTATATATGAGGTGATAGTTTACATAAAACAAAATAATCTAGAATTAATTGAATAAATAACTTTTTAAAAAACCAAGCACAGTGGGGTCGCAGCATAATGGGGACGTTGCATAGTTGGGTCCAGTATAGATTTAGTCTGACAGTGATTAAAATCACTATCATAAAAAACGCTTCGATGCAAATCTGTAGATAGTGTTTAATTTTAAAAAAATGATGGATAATTACAAGCAACATCAATTTCTATTTCCTTAATTATACCCAGATTAGTAATTCTTTTAATTATATATTATATAATATAAAGTGTTGTTTATAATAATAAAAAAAAAATGAATTTATTACCATAACTTTTAGCTCAACTGACAAGTTTGAAATTGATATTATTAAATAGAAAAAAATGAAATTGTTAAGATTAATATGCAATCAGGAAATTTTATAATTACTATTTGCAGTACATTTTTCAGAAAAATTCGATTTTTTTGCATTTTTATCATAATAGATACCTGAAATAGAAATAATAGTAATCATTTCTTATTAACTTTTGGTGTTTAAAAAGATTTTACAATGGAAATATTCAGAACTTAATTAATTTTATTGATTTACTTTAACTAAATGAACCAAACAAAACAAAGTTGTTAAAAGGATTTACTCAATTGAGCGTATTATAAAATTTGATTATAATTGTAAAAATCCATCGTTAAATTCAGGTGAAACGAAAAATAATTTTTTTTTTAATTTATGATTTATATAGCAACATATTACAAAAAAATATGGAATATTATAGACTGGTAGTAGCACACACAAATAGAGTTAAAAAATTAAAAAATTACAAAGTAAAATTATTTACTTTTGTAGTTATTCAACTACAACTACAACTTTTATTATATCAAATCTAATTCGACAATAAATACTTTAAGAATATTAGAAATTAATGATTTTAATTGTGTGTATGGAAAAAGCTAGTTAAGCTACTTTTTATTTGAATAAGGAATATTTTTTCGATTTTTAAGAGTAATAACTTAAACTAATCATTAACTTAAATATCATAAACATAAATGAATCATTTGACGTATCGTAGGTGTAGTGAGGGTTGGCAAAATAAATCGTAGCCACAAAAAGAATCACATAGTAAAATAATATTAACATGAATATTAATTTCTTCTCACGAGGGGAGACGATAGTGATAAGATCCTTTATATTTATTGAAGTTATTGAATCTAAATGAGATAAATATCAAATGATTTGAAAATTGTATTCTAACTCAAAAAAAAAATGCAAAATATTAAAAGTCACAGACGGATTTTAACCTCGTACCCTAAGCGTGAAAGACACAGGTGTTACCCATTCGGCAACTGTTCGTTGATTTTGTCGCTTGATAAAATTAGCTATTTAAGCTAACTCAAATTTAAAAATTACTTTTTCGACTTTAAAAAAGTAAAAAATTTTTAATAAGTTTAATTTCTTATGTCTTATGAACTTTATTCTTTGTCAATTAAATTATAAAATATTCATGAAAGTCAGTGTATTGCCCTTATAAGATGTTTTAAAATAAAATAAAATACAAAATCCAGAATTTTAATAAAAAATAGCATATTTTTGAATACGGTAGCCATTTGCGCATAGAAGATAGATCGTCGGGACAAATTTTTTTTTTTAATTCTATAGTACATGACATAAGCTTTAATTTGATATATATTTAAAGGACGCAGTATTTCCGGAACATTTTCAAAAGTCAAGTTAAATAAGTTAGTTTTTGTAAAAAAGTTGCTATTTTAAATCCTCCCCTGTGAGAAGAATAAGTGTTAGATTAAATGATATCAAATGAAAGGAAATTAAATTATTAATTAGCTTCGCATCGAAGCTAAAAAAATCACGTGTATGTCATGAAAGTTATTCAACTAAGATATTAAAAATTTTGGAAATCAAGTTTTGTTAAAGGGTTAGAGGTAGTCAAAAGAATGAAAATATGAGTATTTTAAATAGTTATAAAATACTCATTTTTTCACTCTTCTGACTACCTCTCATCCCTTAACTGTTAATTATAATTTTAGTATTGAAAATTTGCATTGTAAATCTGTATTATTTATTACATGTAATAAATATTTTTGTATGTATACAAAAATATTTCAGAAATTTTTTTATACTGAGTGAACGATTTTTATTTTATAAAAATAATTCATTTTAAATCAAAATCTTTCACTGACCAACATGACTAATGATAATTAAAGTAATTAAACAAATTATAATTAGTATTTACCGGTGCTTGTTAGTAGTCCTTCATTTAGCCATGGTCTCAACACGTTGTAATCTGGTCCTTTGGTTATGTGTTTCATGCTAGGTAATATAACCTATAAAACTTAATTTATAGTTCTAGCATAAAAATATCAAAATTATAACAATTATTTAAATAAAAACTAAAAATCGGTTGCGTAATGAGAAAAATAAATTAACTACTGTGATATTATCATTAGTGATGGGAAATATTGAATAGTAATTAATGAACTATTCGATAGTTATTATTCAAACTATTAGAATAGTTTTACAACAATTATTCTATTCGAATGGTATTAACAACTATTAGGATGAACGATTCGAGTATTTATTTAAACCATTTGATAATTATTTGAATATTCGATAGTTTATGCTAAAAAACAGTACTATTTGGTTAAATAAAAAATATTCTAATAGATGTTTGATATTTTAAAATATTTGAAAATGTTCATAATGAATTATCATATTGTAGATTAGTATTTTTGGTGAATTATATAATTCCAACTCCTACACAGAATCCTGCCCCCATCTCCACGCAGTGTAGTCGGACTCGATTTTGGGGCCGATTAACAGAGAGGCTACGCCATGTTATGATTCAGCTCTTGAAGTTCTATGGCAGTTCATAAAGATGCCAGTTTATGTAATAAAAAAAGGGTCTTATAACTCTATAGAAAAGTATTATTACAGAAGAGTTCTGAATAACTTATTTTTTTAACAATAATTGTAAAAAATAGTCTTATTAAATTTTAAAACTCACTACGTTACTATAATAAATTATGTAGTTATTTTACTTGAATATCATCTGGATCAGTCATTATAACATAGTCACGAAATACTACTCTAATATATACAATTGGTCCCACATGTTTCATTATGTTGATGTAATAAGGCATAATATCTGTAATTTGACATTTAATGGAAATAAGTTTTAAATATTTTCTAATTTATTAATTTTTTTTTTCCTGGACCACGGCCTGTAATCGTACATTACTTTTTTTTATTTTTTCAAAATTACTCAAATTGTGTTGTATTTAGGAAAAAAGTTACACAAGATCAAAATTGTTGACCGTTTGATGACCTCAAAAACGTCTGTCACTTCGAATTCTGCACTAAATTAAAATTACTTTAAATATACATTATATCTTAGGCCAACCTAACCATATGGTTGAAGGATATTTTTAATAAAATCCTATTAGGAGGGAAAATGCCAAAAGAATGGAGGAATAGTATTGTGGTCCCGATATTTAAAGGCAAAGGAGATTGGAAATTATAGAGGTATAGAGCTTAAGTGTAATATTATGAAGATTTGGGAAAATGTTGTAAACAAAAGTATAAGAAGAGAAATATCAGTAACAAAGAATCAGTTTACTTTTTTGTCTGGAAAATCAACGATGGAGCCAGTTTTCTGTGTAAGATAAAAAATATAAGGAAAAGAAGGAAAAACTGTGTATAGTATTCATAGATTTGGAGAAAGCGTATCATACAGTACCGAGAGAGGTTTTAAAATAAGCTTTAATGAGAAAAGGAGTCACAAAAAGGTACATTAATATAATAGAGGATATGTATGATGGCACTTGTACCAGGGTAAAGGTGTGAGCGGAGTTTTTAGGGTAAGAGTAGGAGTACACCAAGGTTCTGCCTTCAAAAGAATTCCAATGAGGCTGAAACGTAAATTTTACAAGTCTGTAGTGAGACCGGCTGATGTATGGTTCAGAGTGTTGGATGGTTGATAAGGAAGTTGAGTAGAGAATAAGTGTAGCTGAGATGAGAATTCTTAGATGGATGAGTGAAGTGACTAGAGAAGATAGGATAAGGAACNTCTGTAGTGAGACCGGCTGATGTATGGTTGATAAGAAAGTTGAGTAGAGAATAAGTGTAGCTGAGATGAGAATTCTTAGATGGATGAGTGAAGTGACTAGAGAAGATAGGATAAGGAACGAGCATATAAGAGGAAGTATAGGTGTTGCGTCAATCGTGGATAAGNAGAGTATAGGTGTAGCGTCTATCGTGAATAAGATGAGAGAAAAAATAGACTTAGATGGTTTAGTCATGTTATGAGGAGAGAAGAATCGGAAGCTGTAAGAACAGTTATGGAAATGAATGTTGAAGGAAGAAGAGATAGAGAAATACCAAAGAGATGGAGGCATGTTATTAAATGCGATATAAGGACAGTTGATGTTTGCGTAGATGATGGGAAAGATCGTGTCAAGTGGAAGTTTAGGATAAGGATCCCAAGTAATTGGGATAAAGGCGAGGAAAAAGAAGAAGACGAAATAGAATTTACTAACTATAAGATACATAGTGATACTTCTTTTACAATGTGAACATTTTTTACTATTTCAAATAAAATTAATAAATGTAAAATTTAATTTCAAATCAATTATTTTTTAAATAAAAACAGTACCTTTAGGTTGTAATCTAGCTACTTGTATTGTATAACTAAGTGATTCCCAAAAGGTTTTTGTTATACTTGGCAATTGCAATAAAAGTTTTTGTCGTTCGATTTCATACTTATTTTTGTTTAATAAGAAGTATCCTAATATTAAAATAAAGATGACAAAAATCCATAATGTATATTGGTTAAAAACATTTATTTCTATATTTAACATAGCGATTGACGTTCAATAAATGTTGCTTTAATAATAATTAAATAATAATAACACCATTAATGAATCTCTTGCATGAAAACACTAGTTACTAATTAAATAGACGAACAACATAAATTATCACGACGCTTATAAAATAATATCACTTTGATAATAAAAGTTGATTGTATAGAAAGTGTTCAATAATAAAACTTTGTACTGTAGATTTCATAAAAACAGTATATTAATCAGTGCCTTCGATAGGTTTTGAGAAGCCTCGGCAAACTTATTAATTGTCAGATAGAGTAGAAACATATATATATTTAAATTATATATAATTCGTTATACCAATATTTTATTTGATTTAATATTATGAGAGTTAGAATAAAAATATGCAAGTTATAATGATGTTTTTTTAAATATAATATAATTCATAGTTATAAAATTGTATAAGTAGTATACATATTTTCTTATATAAATTATATTTTACTAAAGTATTAATTATCACTAGACAACCTTGCAATTGCTATTATGATCAAATATTTTTTTAAATAATTTTCTGGTTAATCAATTTACATGTGCATGAAAATCTAAACAATTTTTATTACATTTTACATTACTGTAAAATAAGCTTGAGTTGAGCAAATATAAAGTTTATAATTGCCACGTTTATCTTTTAAGTTTCCGATATCTCAAACAAACGAAATTGGAAATATATCCAACTTTGAATAAATTATCCAATTTTTGTGTTTTCAAAACACTTTAGAATTAAATATAGAAGTCGCTAAAATTTATTTCTGACGTGCAACTTGAGCCACACTTTAGGTAATTATATAGTAATTTTTTTTTTTTGGGAATCTTTCGATTTTATCTTTGCTAAAGCAAATGTTTTTGGTTATTATTGTAGTCTTCGAACAACAAATATGATTTTAGAGAATTCTGGATATTTTTGCTTTGATACGAAGCTGATAAGGTATTAATTTTATTATGATGTGTTTATTTATTTTTTTTTTTGTATCTGTGACTACTTATTCTCAACTCTCACTAAACCGATTTTAATGACCAATACGTCAAAAGATCAAAAATCGTATCTAGTCAAAGACATTACCCTCAAAGATTAAAAAAAATTCGCTCGTTCTCTGTAAATAGGAGAAATCCCTCAAAAAATTACGGTTTTTAAAATTGGTAAATTTCGACATTTTTTCAACTTTTAGCTTCGATGCAAAGCTGAGAAGGTATTGGTTTTACTATGATGTGTTTTTTTTTTTGTGCTTGTTACCACATTTTCTCAGCTCTCACCGAACGGATTTCTTTCAACGATACGTCAAAAGATCACAAATCGTATCTAGTCGAAGACATTACCCTTAAAAATTGAAAAAAATTACCTCGTTCCCCGTAAATAGGGGAAACCTCCAAAAAAATTACAAAAATCGCTAATTTTCGAAATTTTTTTTACTAAAAACTGCCGTAACTTTTTCAAAATTGAACATATCAATATAGTTTTTTTTTATAAATACTTGATGTCTTTATCTATCATTTGGTATATATTTTTTGTAAATCTGACAATTAACCTTGCCACAGTGGGGGATTTAAAATGACAACTTTTTCACAAAAAATTAACTTTTTCAACTTAACTTTTGAAAATGTTCCGGAAGGTCTGACACTTTTATATATATCTTAAATTAAAGCTAATGTAATGTACTTTAATTTGAAAAAAAAAAATTTGACCTCTGGACTTGTCTTCATGGTGAAAACGGCTACCGAATGCTATTTTTGTGTGAAAATTTTCGATTTTATAATTTACATTTTTTACTTTAAAGTGCTATAACTTTTTAAAAAATGTATGGATCAATACAATTTTTTCATGAGAAGTAGTATTTATATACATCTTTCATTGGATATACTTTTTTTTTAAATCAGACTATTTCCCTATATATGGGGGGGCTTCAAATATAAAAAATGCATATAGAAAGTAGAACTTTTTCAACTTAACTTTTGAAAGTGTTCCGGAAGGTCTGACACTTTTATATATATCTTAAATTAAAGCTAATGTAATATACTTTAATTTGAAAAAAAAAAAATTTACCTCTGGATTTGTCTTCATGGTAAAAATGACTACCGTATTCAAAAATATGCTATTTTTGTGTGTAAAATTCTGGTTTTTGTATTTTATTTTATTTTATTTTAAAATACCTGACAAGAGGAGTACAAATTTTCATAAATATTATATAAATAAAAATTGATATAGCATAGAAAGTTAAACTTCTTAAATTTTTTTGCTTTTTGAAGTCGAGAAAAATAATTTTGATATTTGTACTAGCTTAAATAACCACTTTTTTCAGTCCACGATAGCGACATACGGTTGCCGAATCGGTCAAATTTGTGTTTCATGCGCTTGGAGTACAAGGTTTCAACACGCGTATGGCAATTAATTTTTTTGAATTTTTTCTTAATTGTTTTTAAGTTAGAATAAATTTTTAACTGCTTTGATT